AAAAAAAAAAAAAATTGTGGATAATTTTTCATATATATATATATATATATATGATAAAATAATATGTCAGGTTTTGGTGCTTAATTTGGCCTCACACAGTAACCATATCATATCCAAAGCTTTTCACTGTTGCTTTTCACGCGTAAAAAGAAAGAAACACATCGGCACAACATTTCTTATTAATTCCTGGAAATCAAAGTTGGGTCACGGGACAAGATTCAAAATTTCTGGGCAAAATTATATTTGTAGAGGCGCATGATTAGATTCGAGCTTCTGATACTCGAATTTGAGCTCTGAGTCTTTATCGAGTTTAAGTTGAGCCTTAATAAGTTGAGCTACAAAAAATTAATTAAAAATCTCAAATTTTATCTAATTGTAAGAGCTACAAAAAATTAATTAAAAATCTCAAATTTTATCTAATTTTGCAATTAGATAAATTTGCTCGTTGTTACTTACCTAATTTATCTTATTTTGCAAATTATTTCATCAAGTTTATTTTTTATTTTTTGGTACATGGACCTTTCGGTTTCCGGATCCACAGGGGAACCGACTAATTCGGAATCGAGCCGGGTAGGACCACAAGGGCGGCAAACCTCTCCCTCAAGAATTTTAACACTGCTGCATTCCCAGGGCTCGAACACTAATTTATTCCATCAAGTTTTTTTTTCTTTTTGGTACAGAAACCTTCCGATTTCTGGATCTACAGGAAACCGACTAATCCAATTTTTCACTGGACTAGATAGATATACATTGAAGTCATAATCAAACCAAAAATTTGTCATTTCCCCTAAAAAAATGGGGGAGACCCCTCAATAAAAACTAGGGTCAAACATGCATGTGCTTAGTGCCTATTATTGTTTCGCACGCAATCATAACATTTTTGCGTCCTCTTTAAAATGATTATTATAAGTCTAAATAGCGTATGCGCTCATATATATTGCATATGTTATTTTAATATACAAAAATAATAACACCAAATTATATATCTCTCGTCTTGAATTAATTAATCTGTCCCCCAATTTCTTAATTATGTTTATTATACATAAGTTGAATCCGCGTCTAAATAAAAAAAATAATAACAAACAAACAAACACTAGTTATGATTTTATTAGATACTTTAAGAGTAAATCTGTATAATTTTATATTAAAATGTCATGCTTCAAAATAATACAAGTAAAAAATATGATTTTTCTAATACAAAAATATATTTTCGTTAAAAAAAATGACAGAACAATCCATCTAACAATAAGACGTTCTGAATTAGGGGTGAGCATGGGTCGGTACGGTTCGGAGATTGATAAATCTCCAGAACCGTACCGAAGTTCGGAGATCACTAAAATTCAATCTACAGAACCGTACCAAAAAATCGGTTCGGTCCGGTTCGGAGATTTTTATTTTTCGGTTCGGTTCGGTTCGGTTTTCGGGACTATCGGAACGGTTCGGTTCGGTTTGGTTCGGTTCGGATATTCAGAGATTTCTTATCATTTTTTAAATTTTTTTGAATGACCACCTAGTTATATTTTATTTTTTATATGTTTTATTTTTAAAAAATCCAACATTCATCAATACTTCATCATACTAAATATTTTTTTTAAATCAACTTTAGAAGTAACCCTAACTTTTAGTTAAGATTAAATTCAACTAACATTAAAAATTTAAAATCAAATAAAATATAATACAATTTTATATTAAAATAATATTTATTTATCCGTCCCTAACATGTTAGTTATAAGATAAACTAAAGCTAAGTATCGACAACTTTAAGTAAAGTTTAAATATTTTTTTTAAATCTTTAACCTTTCATTCCATTTTATTTCTTTTTAAATATGAGAAATTCAATTATAGATCAAGTATTACTAAACATGAAATGTAAGTGAATCTTAATTGTTATTACTATATTTTATTTGCATTTTATGTATTTTCAAATTATATAGTATCAAAGTTGACATATAATATATTAATAATACGCATCTATTTTAATAATTCGGTTCTTAATTTCGGTTCTTCGGTTCGGTACGGTACGGGACGGTTCGGTTCGGTTCTCGGTACGGATATTTAAGAAATCTCCAGAACCGTACCAATTATTTCTTCGGTTCGGTTCGGTTCGGAGAAAGTCAAATGGTCAACGGATATTTTTTGGTTCGGAGTGATTTTGGTTCGGTTTTCGAGACGGTTCGGAATTCTCCGAGTTCCATGCTCAGCCCTATTCTGAATGACTCGTTTGTGATAAAAATTAATAATAATAATAATAATAATAATAATAATAATAATAATAATAATAATAATAATAATAATAATAATAAATCAGTGTTATTCCTTTTCAATTGATGTTGAAATTAAAGGGGGGAAAAATTGATAGTATCAGTGGCAAGAAAACATGAACCACATTAATATTTAAGAATTGAGATTTCATTTTCCAACTAATTTGATAGCATATATAGAAGATACATTTATAGTAAGGCAAGGCAAAGGGGTACACATAATTGGTATCAAAATTTAAGAAGACTCTAATTTCAGGTTGGCCAGAGTGTTGTTTTTCTGGACACATGACATGATCAGAACAATGGCCACAGCCTATATTAATGTTTCATGATGTCTCTTAAATGTTATATATATATATATATTCTCATTTATTACCATTGTTTTATTTTCAATACATATATATTTTTTTTTAATCAGAGAAAACAATTAATTTTTTTTAAAAAACAGGGGCAATATTGTCTGAGAAAATATACTATAAATTATAAAACAATACCTCATCAGCTCCATTAAAAAAAATGAGGGGAAAAAATTAAAAAATTAAAAAAAAAAAAAATCTTAGCTCAAATTAGTTGACCTTAAAATTATATAATAAGGTTGCTATCTATATACTCTTTGCTTGTTTTAAAGCCATCTTCATCCCTTTTTTTCTTCCCTTTTTTTCCTCCACACCAGACAAGAAACCTCCACTCTCTTTCCTCTCTGTATAAAAGCAAACACTGTCCAGCCAGCCATAACAATATATCTTTTTCCCCCCCCAACACCTTCAAAAAATCCCACCAAGAATTAATAATAATAATAAAAAAAAAAAAAAGTTGAGCAAACATGGAAAATTATTTTCATCTCTTTTGGTTCCTTTTGATCTCATATATTGTAGTGGCTTTTGTGCTGAAAATTGTGATTCACATATGGTGGGCACCAAGGAGAATTGAGAATCATTTTTTGAGGCAAGGGATTAAAGGGCCTAAGTATGAGCTTCTATTGGGCAACTTAAAGGAACTTGCTAGCTTGAATTTGAGGGCCTCAACACAACCTATGCCCCTCTCTCACAATATTCTCCCAAGGGTCCTTTCATTTTACCATCATTGGAAGAAAATATATGGTATATGCAATTTCTTTTTTTTTTTTTTTTTTATTTATTTTTTTTTTTTTTGGAGAGAGAGTTTTTATATTTGGGCTTTTGGTTCATTGCATTCTTGAAGCTTGTCTTGTCTTAGTTGTCTATGGTATCAACTTCTTGCACTTTTTTTTTTTATTTTTATTTTTATTTTTGTAATGATCAGCCAAGAAAGTAGGTGTTTATGTTATGTAGGGTCTACACTATCCATGCTCTCTGAAAAATATGATAACAAGAAACTTTATCACTTTATTTATTTATTTGAAAAAGAAAAATTGTTATCATCATCATGGGTCATGGCTTACTCTTTTGATATAAACAGCATGTTTAATTATTAAGCTAGAGCATATTAAATATATTTACATGCTTTGTACATGCAATTTTTGGTACTATTGTATGTAGGTAAGCCTCAACAACATCATCTAATCCACCTAATTTCTTGTTTTAAAATTTTAGGGGGAAAGGGGGACCCTTTGAACATTTATACTCCACAACTAAATCATGAACTAGATCCCATTCTCTTTTTTTTTTTTTTTTGGGGTATGCAGGTTCAATGTTCCTAGTTTGGTTTGGGCCGACGGCCCGTCTAACGGTCTCCGACCCGGCCCTCATCAGAGAGATTTTCATCTTGAAATCAGAGCTTTTTGAGAAAAATGAATCTCCCCCACTTGTGAGGAAAATTGAAGGTGATGGCTTGTTGAGCCTCAAAGGAGAAAAATGGGCTCACCACAGAAAAATTATTCAACCAACTTTCCACACTGAAAATCTCAAGGTATTTATTTCCAATTGTTTTCTTTATTAATATTAAAAAAAATGGCATAAATTTTAATAATTAAAAAAAAAAAAAATCGTGCTACACTATCAGAATGTACATTTTTTAATTTAGATTTTGACAATATATTATATTGGATAATAAATCAATTTGACAAAATAGATTTTTAACTCTAATATTTATGTTTTTCATTTTCACTCCTCAAATTCGAAATATTTATCTATATGCACCACTTGATCAAGCCATGTTTCACTTAGAAAATAGCATTGAATGCGACCTATTTTATGTATCATTTTCATTATAAATATTCCTTCCTACAACTCATCAAGAACATCATCATCTCATGACCATCACGTAATAAATATATAAGATCTTTTATTAGTATATTTTTTTTTTTTTTGGTCTACTGTTCAATATTTAATACAGCTGATGATACCCATGATGGCCAAAAGCATGGAGGCAGCACTTACGAAATGGTCCGAGAAAATGTCGATTGATGGGAAAGTGGAAATCGAGGTTTCCAACTGGTTCGAGAATCTAGTCGAGGATGTGATTACGAGGGTGACTTTCGGGAGCAGCTACGAAGATGGGCGGGCCATTTTCGAGCTGCAGTCCCAGCAAATGGTCCATGCCACCGAGGCTTATCAGAAAGTGTTCATCCCTGGTTATAGGTACTACTAATTTAATTTAATAAATTACTAATTACTACTATCGTTTTAACTTATTTTAAATTATCAATTAAGAGTTATTATTAATAATTATTAAATACAGATTTTTGCCGACGAGAAAGAACAGAATATCTTGGAGACTGGAAAAGGAAATTCGAAAGTCGCTACTAAAGCTTATTGACCATCGAACAAAATCGTGGTTTCAAGTTGACGACATGTCAGATGAATGTCCCAGCGATTTATTGGAACTCATGATAAAAAATAGCAACATCTCATCAAATCATAATAATTATCATGAGAAGTCGCCGTCAATATCGTCCATAATAACACCTAACGACGTCGTGGAGGAGTGTAAGACCATTTTCTTCGCCGGCAAGCACACCACCTCCAACCTGCTTACGTGGACGACGGTGCTGTTGGCGATGCACCCTTATTGGCAGGACCAGGCACGTGAGGAGGTTCTCAGAGTGTGTGGTGCACGTGACGTCCCGACTAAAGATGAGCTCCCCAAATTTAAAATGGTACGTACACTATTTTTTTTCTTTTATTTAATGTTTGTTTTTTTAATTGTATATATATATATATATATATATATCTTTATATTATTTGTTTTTAATTGTCTCTCAATACAGAAGAAAGAAACGAAATATCCATTTTTATATGGAGAGAAATAATTGGAAGATTATTCAAGAGATATATATTATAAATAGAGATATAACATCGTTTCAATTTTTTATATGGAGAGAAATTATTGAAAATTATTCCAGATATTTATTATATGGAGATAAATAAGTGGGAGAAATTATTAACAAATTTGTATTGAATAAAGGTGATAGAAGAGTTTCTAATACTGGTCTTGTTTGGTAATTAACGGTAAGTTTTAACGGATAGCGGATTGTAATAATAATTGTGTTGACCAGTTTTGAATTGTAACATTTGTATTGACCAGTTGTTTTGACAGGTTTATACTGCTAGGGCAAAAATGTTTGGTTAAATAGTGGGTTGATTTGTAAAAATATATTAAATGTAATTAACTTACTTATTTTGTTATATAAATACTTAGAAAGCAATAAATACGAATTGTACATATGTAATTATTTTAGTATCAACTAAAATTAAATTGATTCTTAATTAAATTAATTTTTCATATTTTTTAAGTAAAATAAAAGAAATAATATAAATTAAAAATATAATAAGTATGTTAATGTACTTAAATACAATTTATAATTTCTGTATGAATAAAGTACGATAGGTAAACTATTTTGATTTATAATTTGAATTTTGATTTATAGTTTGAGAATTATAGGTTGGGGCGGTATGTTTTCTTTCTGAACCAATATTTGAGTACCATTTTTAACTCTAGATATGGAAAACCCTTCCTTACCAGCGGTTTAAAATTTATAAAACAAAAACAGCTATATCTCATTTTCAAAATCATCAAGAATAATTTACCAATGGTTTTATTGTTATTATTTTAGTCAGTGAAGAGGGCAGAATTATTGTTTTTAAACTTCTATAAATTTCAATTATATTTATATTTAGTTATATCAATTCCTATTAAGACGTGGAGCTCTTATTATTGATAGATGGTTTATCTTCTTGGGAAAATTATCTTCTAGAGAAAATTAATAATAGCAATATTAGAAAACTCTTTGAAATGATTCTAGACACTGTATACTTCTAAAATAATAATGAAATGCAACTGTAGACACGCCATACCTTTGACCTTTGTGTAACGACAAAATTGTATGATTTCTTGTAGACTTCAACTAGATATTAATCAATAATTGATCTAAAGGGACATGTTACAATTGTTAACTAGTATTAGAACTTGTGCATTTGCACAGGTGTAAATAAAGTATTGTGAGTTATGTATAAGCGTATAATGATTAATAAAGTATTTGTGACCAAATTTACAATTAAGGGAGTTGGAATATATTTTTTTTTAAATTGTGTTTATCTGATATGATGTAATGTATATTTGAGTACGTCTTTTTTTTGTGATTTATTTATTATTTATTTAAGAATTTCAAATAAGTTTTTTTTAAAAAAAAAATGAATATAATGTTACCACAATAATAACATCTAATCGCATTATATGGTCAACTGTCAGTAATAAAAAATTTACAAAAAAAATTTTAATTTTGAAATGATTAGTATTGATTATTTAATAATTAAATAAAATATTAAATACATCAAAAGTAATGGTTTTTGGAGGAAATTAGTTAAATTGCCACATAGGTATAATTAAATAGGTTTTATTAAATGCTATAGCTAGTAATTATATATATATATAGATTTATCATTGTTATTTTGGTGCCAAAATGTATCAAAACATCAACAAAAGTTCAAAACACAATCATATCTTATATCTTCCAATTTAATTTAATTTGTTCCTCTCCGCACCTAAATTTTATTTATAACTTAGGGGTACTTAGATCCTTTTATTGTCCAAAATTTATGCAGCTTGGCATGATTCT